GAAACATATGATTCTTGGGGAATTTGACAGAGATGCAGGGAGGTTGTTTCCCCTTGTGGGAAAGTCTAGGACCAGAGGGTACAACCTCAGAATAAAGGGTTACCCAGTTAGGACAGTGATGAGTAGGAATTTCTTCTCTCCGGGGTCATGAATCTGTGGAATTCCTTACCACAGAGGGCTGTCAAAGCTGGGTTGTTGAGTATATTCAAGTCTGAGACAGACAAATTTTCAATCAGTAAGGATTCACAGGTTATACGGAAAAGACAGGAAAGAGGAGTTGAGGTTATCAGATCAGCCATGATCTCATTGAATGGCAGAACAGACTCAACGGGCTGAATGGCCACTTCTATCCCTCGGTCTATTTCACTGTTACTGAAATTAATTCAGTTCCTCAACTATCTTTCCTGGTAACTCATTCCTGCTGAGTCCACAACTTGTAAAGAAATAACTAAAATAAAAGCAGTTTTGATATAAAAATACAACAATGGAGAGAGAGAAACAGAGTCCATGCTCCAAGTTCAATGCACCAAACCTGAACTTCTCTGGCACTTTATTTATGTGGCAAAGAAAAGCTTCCTGGCATGCTTGCTGTTTCCAACTGTGACCCTGGATCCTTTACTGTAAATGTAATTCCTCAGTCGTGGTACTATATATTGGTTTAAAGCCCCTTCAAAGACACTTTCTTTCAAAGCTGGAGATATTCAATTTTGCCAAAATCTTCTTTATCGCTGTTCCCTTCTGCCACAGTGGTAGCCTTTGTTTTAACAATGGTTGCAGGGATGACAAACTTCAATGACATTGTCAGATTGGAAAAGGTGAGGGTGCTCTCCCTACATACCTGCAGATGAAGGAGATATTTGATCATTCCATTCAGAATCATGAGGACTCTTAATAGCTTCGATCGGGAGAAACTGTTCCTGTTGATGGAAGTATTGAGAAAATCAGAGCATTCTAACATAAGGTGAATTGCAAAACCAGCAATGGAGACACAAGGAAAAACATTTTCACACTGATATTCTGTTGAATCTGGATTATCGTGCTGGTGAGTATCATGGAGACAGCTTCAAAAAGGAATTGAGCAATCATCTGAAGAGAAAACATTAACGGGGCTACAGCAAAAAAGTCAAGAAAGTGAGATTAGGACAGCTGCTCTTGCAGGAAGTCAGCACAGACTTGAGGGGGCAAATAGCCTCCTACTCTACTTCTTTCCATAGTGTATGTCATGGATAGCCTTCTAAGCAAAAGCTATTCAATAATATTTCATGCAAAGACTAGTAATGTGAAGCTATCCTGTTTATCTCAGGCAATGCTGTAGGTTCAGCATGCAGCTCCTTATAAAGTCATAATTTGATCTTGTTTCCTGGTTTCTATAACTTCTCCATGGACTGTGGAAGCAAAAGAATGCTGAATTTTCCTGTATAGGTGGACAAACCAACTCAAACTTGGTGCAAGCCAGAAAAGATGGTCACATCTTTCACCAGTTGTGAGTAGCACAGTTGTTTCTGGAGACAATGACACAAATGGTCACTTCTGAGGAACTTGGTAACACCACCTTGGGGCAGCCATAAAAATGGTGTGGAATTATGGTATGAATCAGATCCTCCAAGATGACCCTGTGGTGTTCTGGGGCATTAATTTGTTAATTGCTTCAGAAAGTTTTGTTGGTTGTTACTATATTCAGAAACAATCATTATCACAAATCAAGTGGATTCATCAAGATGGAGGATAGGAAAAATTGTGGCTGAAAGAGCTGCTCATTTTTTTTTGAGATATTTTCAGCGTTGGAACAGATTTCCTCGAATTCTAGGGGCAGTGGTTACTGTTTTATAAGCTGTTGCATTGTTTTGGAACTTTAGGACCAAAAAAGATCAAAACAACGGCACTTTAAAAAAAGGAGGAAGACAGACAAAGGCAGTGACCACATGGGAAGTGTCATGCAGAGGATGGTGCATGTATGGAATGAGCTGTTAGAGGAAGTGGTGGAGGCTGGTACAATTACAACATTTAAAAAGCATCTGGATGGGGTATATAAATAGGAAGGGTTTAGAGGATATGGACCAAATGCTGGCAAATGGGTCTAGATTTATCTAGGATATCTGATCGGCATGGATGAGTGGGACCAAAGGGTCTGTTTCTGTGCTATACATCTCTATGATTCTATGCCAAATCAGGACTCATCAAATGTGGTGTCATCAACACACAAAAAACCTTTCAACAATTACTTTCTTTGAGGTTGTCTACAGTCCTTAAAGAACTGCATCAATTTATTACGAATGAATCTTTGCAAATTTGCAAATAGTTTTATAATGTAAATACTTCATGAACCCCCAAGGTAGCAACAGCAGCAGCTAATCTGTAGATTTTTTCAGTTGTCATAGTTACTGAAGTACCCTGGCTCTGACATCAAACACTGAAATATGTTCAAAAGGACAGCACGAATGTTCACATTTAAAGTGAGATAAGATGCTACTGTTTGAAGCATTTCATTTTCCAGGAGTAATCCACATCGACGAATAAAATTTTCTAATTTATAACTTAAAGTTATTCACTGGTTACATCACCTGCTGAGATTCTCTACTCACATTTAACTCATTTTTTCCCCAATGTAGTTAGAGCTATTAGAATTAGAAATGTGAATTAGAAATTAGAATTGAAATTAGAAATCAAATGAGAATGTATAGCAGGATGATATTTGGCCCATTATGTCTATGCTTGCTTATCAGTACAGGTAGCCAATTAATTTCACTTCCTCATTTTATCTGCATCATTTAATAGCTTTCCTTCCGGTATTTATCCAATTTTCTTGAACAAAATAAAGGATTATACAAAATCAGAACTACACTTGATCATCGATGTGAATATATTATGAAGATATTAGAGCATGAGAGGATCAGTTGATCAATGGATGGGATATTGAGGAAACACTAACTCGCTTCCTAGGACAAAGATATAATTATGCTAAAAGTGGTAAAAGCTAAAAAAAAAATCAAGTCACAAATAAATAGGTAATAGGCAATCAGAAGCAACAACAGGGCAAGTCACTTATGTTTCCTGACAAGATTTTTTAAGAGCTTGAGAGGAAATAGTGGATGTACTAGAAAAGTAGTTCTCACTGGACATTAAAGTTTTAATTTTCAAAAATATGACTTTAGTTTTGGAGTGTCATTACAGGCACTGGAAAATCAAGACTACAATGACAGAGTGAAATTGCTGGTGCTGTGTTTGTTGCCTTGTTGAAGGAAACTTGCTTCACAAAATGAAATTTCGGGAGACCTTTCAATAGTGTCACAGAGGAGATTGGCCCAAGGTGGGAATGCTTTTGGATCAGACAAAAAAAGAAAGACTCAAAATAAAGGAAATTGTTGCAAAATTGTCAAATTTCTTTTAGGTTGGGGATTGAAGTTTTTCCAAGAAAGATAACAGAAGCACCTGGTTTTGGCATTTAGTAAACAGACTTTAATTGATTGCAGCTTAAAACAATAACCGCTTTTTACTTAATACAGGTAGAGTTGAAGTGGGAAAACAATGAACATTGGGGGAGACCTTCATATGTCTTGATGCAGTATCTGCAGTTGTCCTCATGTGGGATTTGAATTGTTCATACTTATTTTTTCCAATTTTAATTTCAAAGAAAGCTTGTAAAGCAAATGGCACATTAGAAAAATTCTTAAAGTAACCATACACTTTTCAGTCAACAGGCTTGGGAATTCTCAGTGATTAGGTCAAATCTCTACCTGAGATATTGCTAAAGGGATATATTGCAGGGTTGTGTGTTTTGGATTTGTGTATATTTAACACACTAATAAACTGTTTTTGTCTGGAGCTGAAAATAACTTGGAAACGCGCAGCAGGAAAATGCTACTAGCACTGACAAATGGCTTAGAGCTTGGAATTAAAACAAAACTGCTGAAAAAACTCAGCAGATCAGGCAGCCTTTATGGGGAGAAACGGAGTTTACACTTTAGATTAGGTGATCTTTCATAAGAATTGGGCCTGAGACCAGCTTTGAGACACAAAATTTGTCAGAAGCTGTAGACCAGAAACAAAATGGGCTATCAGGAACAGAGAGTGTTGTCTGATTTTGGAGTTTATGTCTAGCCATTTTTTTTATTATGCTTTCTGTCTAATTTATAAAAAAGTGATTTACTTCCCAGTTTGCTGACGTTGAGGATTCCTCGATGTGATTGGTCACTTACCCTGATTGATAACATTCCCCGTTCTGGATGCCTGGAGATCCCTTACTAAAATTAACATCAGCAAAAGTGGAAATCCACGCCAGAGAGACAACTAAAACTTTGCAGACAGTGCTTTTATCACAAAAGTTAGTGGCAAGCACAGTCGATGTGCCATTAACCATAATACTGGGGGAGATGGTGGAATACTGATCATGTCATTGGGCTAATAATGCAGACATCCAGGTGAATGCACTGGAGACACAAGTTCAAATCCCACCATGGCAGTTCTTGGAATTTAAGTTCAATTAATAAACTGGATTTGAAAGCTATTCTCAGTAATAGTGACTATGAAACTATCATTAATTGTCACAAAAATTTAAAAAAAAATCATCTTCATCAGGTTTAGCCTCCATGTGACTTCAGATCCACAGTGGGTTGTCTCTTAACTATTCTCGTCAATGGCCTAGCAAGCCACTCCATTCAAGATCAGTAAGGGAAGGGCAACAAATGCTGGTCTTGCCAGTGACACCCACATCCATGTAAGAATAACATTTTTTTTTTAAAGTCTGTGTTTATTGGACTTATTGTACCGTGCAAGAATCAGTGGTACAGTTTCAACCATGCACGACTCTAGACAATACATTACAGTAGAGCTTTAAAAAGATGTATAGTAGCACAACAGAACCAATAACATGGATTAGGCAACTGAGGAATGAGGACAGACTGAAGAAACACAGTTCACAGAACTTTTCAACAGTTTAACCTTGTAGCAAACTACTACCAGACTGCGATGGTCAAGTCCAATGCACAGAAGTAAGCTGTCAACCGGAATTCAACTGGTTCGCACAGAAAATAAACCAGTGTTTGGAGCAGAGATATCAGGCAGAGAGCATCAGGAAACCAGAGAAAGATCTGGAACATTTCTGATGAAAGAAACGATAGAGGAATTTGAGATATGATTGGTTATTTCAAAAGAAACTTTACCACTAATTAAAGTACAAAAAGTTTTTTCCACTTGTGTGCAAGAGTAGTTACATTGTTTCCACTGAAACATTGTGACTTCTTCTTGAACAGTTAAAGAGGAATGCAAAACTGCAAAAGACCATTCAAGTTCATCCATGAAGTGACTGAATCAAATTTGCTACCTAATGCTTCTCCATTGCCCTTCAAAACCAAGTATAAATCTGCTACCCTTCCAGCACAAGGCCTTCAATAGCATCACTATCACTGAATATCCCTCAAAAGTATCCCGTAGGTTACCAGAACCTGGACTGGATCAGCCATGGAAACACTGGGGCTCCAAGAACAGGCCAAATATTGGGAATTCTGCAGCAACTCATCTTGTGTTTCCAAAACCTTTTCACTAGACTACAAGGTACAAGTCAGCACCTAGATGGGTGAGCTCCAACAACACTCAAGAAGCTCAACATCATAGGGGCATAGTCTCAGAATTAAGAGGTGCCAATTCAAAGCTGAGATGAGGAGGAACTTCTCTAAAAGTGTTAAGAATCTTTGGGCGTGGGGGAGGGGAGAGATGGAGTCCTTGTGTATTTTAAGGCTGAGAGAGATAAATTCTTGATCCGTAGGGAAATCAAGGGTTATAGGGAAAGGGCAGGAAAGTGGACATGAGGAGTGTCAGATTAGCCATGATTCTACTGAATAATGGAGCAGGAAACAGGGGCTGAACGGCCTACTCATGCTTCCATTTGTTATGTTCTTGTCATCCAGGATAAAGCAACCTGTTTGATTAACACCCCACCACATACCTTGAACATTCACACTCTACATCAATACACAGTGGCAGCAGTGCGTACCATTTACAAGATGCACTGCAACAACTCAACAAGGCTCCATCAACAGCACCTTCCAAACCTGTGACCTCTACCTCCCAGAAGAACAAAGGTAGCAGATACATGGGAACACCACCTCCTGCAAGCTCCCCTCTAAGCCACAATCATTGTGGCTTGTAACTACATTGCTGCTCCTTCACTGTCAATGGGACAAAAGATCAGAAGATGTAAGAGTGAAAGTTGTCCATTAACCCAATGAGTCTGCTCTGCCATTCAATGGGATAATGGCTGATCTATTATCCTTAAATCCACTTTCTTACCCTATCCCTTACTGATCCGATATCAGCTCCAAATCCTGCTGGGCTGCAGTTTTCTACAGTCTTTCCCCATTTAAATAATATTCAGCTCCTCTATTATTTCAGCTCAAATGCATAACCTCTCACTTTTCCACACTATATTCCATCTGCCTAGTCTTTTACACAATCCCAGAACTGTCTGCCTTAACAGCACCCTAAGGATTGCAGCAGTTCATAAAGTCAGTTCACCATCACCTTCTCAAGGGCATTTAGAAATGAGCAAGAAGTGTTGCTAGCCCTTGGCAGTGATGCCCTCATCCCACAATGAATATAAAGATACAGCTTGCGGATCTAGGGTTCAGAAAGTAGTGGTAAAACTAGCTACAGTCCGTTTGCTGATTTTTACTCAATTGACTGATCAACACAGACAGATGGAGAGATAATCTTGAATGTTTTTGGAAACAGTGTGAGCAAATATTCCTGTGAAAATTTAAAAGTTGTGAATGGCTGTTGATCTATGGTAATTTCCAAATATTCAAGCCTAAATCATTGATCTAGGGGTATGTTTCTTGCTTCTGATGGGTGGTGAAAATGCAAGAGGTCCAGGGTTGAAACCCTGGATGAGCTTGGGTGACACAGTGGCTAGCACTGGTGCCTCACAGCGCCATGCTCTCAGGTTCGATTCCAGCCTCCGGCAACTGTCTGCGTGGAGTTTGCACATTCTCATGTCTGTGAGGGTTTCCTCCAGAGACTCCAGTTTCCTCCCAGTCACAAAGATGTGCAGGTTAGGTGCAGCGGCCATGCTAAATGGCCCATAGTGTCCAGGGATGTGCAGGCTAGGAGGATTTTCCATGGGAAATGCAGAATTATAGCGACAGGGTAGAGGGTGGGTTCGGATGGGATGCTCTTTGGAGGGTTAGTGTGGACTCGATGGGCCAAATGGCCTGCTTCCAACTGTAGGGATTCTACGATATACAAAAACTATCGAATGGTTACTATAAAGTCACCAAGGAGGCAGAGTCGGGCCTTTGGCTTTGAGAATAGTTTCCTGCCACATAAGTGAATGTGATTCTCAGATTAATTCTACGTTAGGGGAAGAATGTATTTATTTTTACTGCTTTATCTTGAAATATTGAAAAGATTGTAAATATGGTAAGTGCACCCTCTGTACAGTAAAACTGACAATATCCACATGCTCCAGGATCAGATGGTGCCAGTAAATTAAAAAAATGTTGGTTAATTCATTGCAGTTTGTGCTAATAGCATGAATTGATTGTAAACATGCATGTTGACATTTACTGCAACTTGCAAAGGCTTAGTGCCTCTCCACCTTTGATTCTTTTCACTGTAAACAGAGAAAGAAATGCTTCAACTTTCAGCCAATTTACTTCAGACTGACATCAATATTTTATTTGCCAAACAGTGACGCCAGGAGGGTATATATCACAGATTCCAGTTGGCTAGGCATTCCAGATGGTGGAAAGCTAAATAACACGAATTTTACCATACTTAGGATTGTTTGTTCAATAATTCGGTGATAAGTATCTGCTGGACTGTTGGTGGGACTCAGTCTAACAGTATATTTAATTAATCTGTGTAAATTCCAGTATGCCAGAATTCAGTGGCATCCTTCCCAGTTCAATCCCTGCTCTCAATGGGCTGCTAAATCCTGATGCTGCAAGATCTGCTATTTCCTGTATTTTCTGTTTTTTTCCAGCTAACTAGCAGCTGCATTTGCTTCTGTATTAGTGGTTAGATATTTAACGAGGAGAGAAGACAGTCTTGCAGACAAACAGGAGGCTGGAAGTACACAGCAGGCTAGGTAGCATCTGGAGGAAAGGAGCAGTCAACATTTCGGGTATCACCTTGTTCAGTCCAGATGGGCATTACCCAAAAAGATTTTGAAGCTCGTAAAGTCCACATTGAGACCATTGGGTTGTAGGGTTCCAAGGCAGAAGCATCTTTGGAAATGCAGTCACTATTAAAAAGTGGGAAATGAGGCAGAAAATTTGAGCACAGGAAGCTACCACAAGCAACAGAGTCTGCTTCAGTGAAAACAACACAACTGTAAGTGCTGTAAATCAGAAATGAAAACAAAAATTGCTGGAAAAACTCAGGTCTGGCAGCACCTCTGAAGAAAAAGCAGAAGTGTCATCAGACCTGAAACATTTTTCTCTCCAGCAATTTCTGTTTTTGTTTCTGCTTTAGTGATGCTGACTCAAGTTCAAATGTTACTCAGGATTAACTCCCCCATCTTCACCAAAGCAGTGCCATAAGATCTTCTGCATCCAATGGGAGAGTGGAAAAGGTATCGGTTTAACATCTCGTCTGAAGGAGGAGACCTTTGAAAGTGCAGCACTTCCTCGGTTTTGCGCTGGGCTGTTGGTCTGGATTACATCCTTACAGTATCTACGTCAGAACTTGAACACACAGCCTTCCAACTTACAGTGAGGATGTTACTAATTGAGAGAAGGCTGACATCTAATACAAAATCAAAACACTGCTGATGCTAGAAATTTGAAATGGAAACACAAAATGTTGGAAGTACTCAGCAGCTCAGATTGCATCTGTAGAGAAACAGAAGTGTTAACATCCAAGGTCTGTGACCTAGTAACAGTATGCTGCCTCCAGCTGCATCTCGGAGCATTACCCAAACTTCTAGCGTAACAGAATCCAAAGACCAATCGAGCAAGTAATTCCTCTTCTGACTTGCAGTCCTATTTCTGCAGAAGTGCTTACACCCTGAGGCTTTATTTGAACAGAGTACAGGACTGAGCAAAAGTACTTTATTTCCTCTCCCCAAGGAACAATTGCCAACATTTCAAAAATTCATAAGGCCCCTTAAAAAGCTTGTAACAGGCAATGTAATATATTCGTTTACATTATCGTTTATGGTGACCTGTAAAAGGGAAGGTCTGCTGAAATATTGTGCAGTATGATGATTTGGTCACTAGTGTTGAACAATTCAACTAACCAAGACGACTAGAGAAACAAGCAATAAGTGCAAGTAGGCTCCCAAAATGAGAAGCATTATTATTAATATGTTGAAAAGGCTGAATTATGTGACTGAGTATCTTTTGCCATGTGAAAAACCCTGGCAAGTGCTTCTTTCAAAGAGACAAAATGACCATAAAAGTCATCAAGGCTGCAGAATAAGGTATCAATCATTTTGTCAAAGTACATTCTTAAAAGAGATGGTGTTGCTGAGGTTTTGAGTGACAGCATGTTGATTTGTACAGCTGAAAGGGGCATCAATTTTTAATAACACATTTTCATTACATCGTTGATACTATGAATTTCCAAAGGTGTTTTCATGGAAAAGTTGAAGAATCAATTCTTAAAGCTTCATGTATTTTAAAATAGAATAAAATATTGTTATATTTACAAGCCAATCTCATTTCTAACTTGAAAATGAATAAACACTGACAGCTTGCTGGACAGTCCAGTACTGATTGCAGAGACTGGTAAGGATTGATCCTTGAATGCTGTTGAGCTGAGAAGTTCCACTGAGATGATGAGGGGACCATTTGGCTCGGGCTCCTAAACAAAATGTGTGACAGCGACAAGCCAAGATTTCTGCCTTTGATGACCTAGTCTGCTGGACCATGTACAAATAAGTAGGTCAGAACATGACTTAAACTTCACTGCTCATATACCTTTTGCTCCCCTGAACTGTGTCAGAGCGAGACAAAAGTCACAGAAGGTGGAAATGTTTAGATACAACATTCAATTGACCAGCAAACATGACTGATGGGATTAAATTGCTCACTATTCCAGGACTGTCCTGTGATGCAAAGGTAATGCCTTTCTTTTAGAAGAACGTCTCAAGCCCCTTGT